AAATTTGATGTTTCTTGCATTTAATTGATCTTCTCTGCATATCATAGTATTCTTTTTTAAATTTATCTTTATTGTTGAAAGTATTACCGATGTCCTCTTTTCCCCCCATTGACCACTTCTTCCTGGCACACATGTCCCCCACCCCCATCATATTCTTAATTGAGAAAATACTGTCTCAAGTCCAGATTTCTCCATTTAGAACATATAAATATTTTGGCCCATGTATTTTCCCAGGCATTGTCTTTTTCCCTCCACTCAGAGTATTTTTCTCTGACAGATCTCTTATAAATTGTCTTTATGATCTTTTGAATGCCTCATCAAGTTTAGATGCCACAAAACTGTAGGCCTTTTTCAATTTTGTTCCATTTCAGAACAGAATATAAATTTAATTAATTAAAAATGACAGTTCCACCAAAAGATTCTTACCAAACATTGAAATATCCCCTAACGCCATTATGGAATTTCAAAATGAAATAAACTGAGTTCTGATCATTTTATTTGTTCAGGTTTTCCCTCAAGGGATGAATTTCAGGGTATTCTCAGTTACATGCTTTATGTTTGGTGATTGCAATTTCTTACATATTTTTAAAGCTGAGGGGCCTATTGTGCTTAATTTTAAAAGGGCCTCTGCAAGGACTCAGACATTCCTACTACACAGTTTATAGTGCCCACCAGACTGCGGATCTTTCTGTGTTCAGAATCAGCTTCACGAAAAATTGTCCTGTTACTCTGAATATACAAAAATATTTGTACAGTTTAACAACTATAGCTGGATTTTTCATAGGTGGGCTATCACAGCTTGTTTTGACCCAATCATGCATTATTGCTCTGTAGCTAATTCTTGATTAATGTGGGTTTCTTGATTTATTAAGGTTTTTACCATGATGCTGTACCTCACCAAAATTGGTATTTGGTCTCACCACAAAAATAGTTTTACATTCAGTGCAGAACTGAGTTTATAGTAGCTTGTCACCCTCAATAAATCAAATGATTAGGAAGGGTGACTTAGCTGGTTTTCTGTTTGAAGCATCTGACTGGCATTGACAGAACTCTGGCATCACTCGCAGTCATGAAGCCTCCTGCCCATAGAACCAGCACAGAAACAGCTATTGCTTCATCTTTCGCTCCATGTTACAGCCCTTAGAATGGAAGAGTGGGTGCGTAACAGAGGAATGGCCACTGGATCTGAACGAGTCATTTTTACAGTTGTATGTAGGCACACTGCAGTGCTGCTCACCTTCAGCCTGTGTTCCGAAGGAACAGCTGCCTGGTGAAGATGCTGGGCTTGAGCTAAGCTAAGGCTTGATTTCCATGTTTGCAGTTGGCACTATGATGGTCAGTGGTGGGAAACATTCAGGTTACCAAAGTTCATTAACTTTCTGGGAAAATTAAAATTTAGGACTTTTTTTAAAATCTTCACCCAAGGACATGCTTATTGATTTTAGAAAGTGGGGGGAAAAGGGGGGAGAGAAACATCAATCGGTTGCCTTCCCACATGTACCCCAACTGGGGATTGAACCCACAACCTAGGTATGCGCTCTGACTGAGAATCAAACCCACAGCCTTTTTTGGTGTGCAGGATGACACTCCAACCAACTGAGCCACACCAGCCAGGGTGATACTTTTTTTTTAAAACCTGCAGTTTGTTTCATCTCATTGCTGCTTAAAGAGTTCATTAAAAAAGAGCCCGGCCGGGCGTGGCTCAGTGGTTGAGCATCGATCTAGGATCTAGGCGATCGGGGTTCGATTCCCGGTCAGGGCACATGCCCCGGTTGTGGGCTTGATCAATGACTCTCTCATCATTGATGTTTCTATCTCTCTCTCCCTCTCCTTTCCTCTCTCTGAAATCAATAGATATATTTAATTTAAAAAAAGAAGAAAAAAAAAAGCATTACCCTCCCACCCAAAAAGAAGCCCTGTAGATTTATATTGGAAGTTGCCAGATTTGGCCCACTGCCTGTTTCTGTGTAGTCTATGAGCTAAGAATTTTTTAAATATTTTTAAATGGTCAAAAACAATCAAAAGAAAAATAATATTTTGAGATGTGAAAATTATATGAAAATCAGATTTTGGGATCAATGAATGAAGATTTGTCGGAATAGTCAGGCCCAGTCATTTACTGGATAGTCTGGCTGCTTTCCCTATGACAGCAGTCAAGTCTCAATAGAAACTATATGGTCCACAACACCTAAAATCTATGGCCCTTCATAGAAAAAGTGCCACCGTGATGTACACTTTCAATAGGTGAGAAAACACTGGTGAGAGTTCAGACTGCTCTCATGTGTTCTTTAGGACTGGCCCACCTCTGATTCCCATACATGTTCTCATACACTTAGAGTTTTCCATGGATGTGGCTGACCAGTGGCTTGACAGCTTTATACACTTCACAGGCCAAGGCACTGGCCACCTGCCTGATGTGCCAAATGGGCAGCAGCACCTAATACCTTTCCCACCACCAACAGACTATGCCGAGCCCCTGGATCAGCAAGCACCTGCATGCAGGTCCTAGGATGGGAGGGGCTGCACATTTTACCTGGAAAGATGAGAGAAGAGTGATGGGCAATCCTTGTCATCTCCTAAAGTCACCGTGCATCCCTCACAGCATCAGATAAGACGGTGGCAGATGCTGGAAGTACAAGGTGAAGGCCTGTCCACCCAACCTACTCTGGCTTCTTAGTTTAAGGCACCTGTTGATGATAACTGATGATACTTTGTTTAAAAATAGAAACCTGGGATTATTGCTATACCAACCTAAATAAGAGGCTTAAACTGGCAGCATCCCCCAAACACCCCCACCCCATGTGCACAACATCCCTTCCGAGTTCCTT